CATAGCGGGACCCTGTCTCAAAAAGACAATACAAACAAAAAAAAAAAAGCACAGGCAGAGAATTATGAGGACAGTGGTCACTGGGAAGGTCACAACATGTCCCCAGGAAGCCACACTCCAGGTAGAAGCTGACAGCTACCTGACCAAGGCCAAAGTTTCCCCAGAGCTGGAACTTGGCCTCGGAGGCTCCCAACCCACGGTCCCTGGCCCATGCCTGAGCTTGTGACACCAGGTTGCGGGGAGGTGGGTGCTGACCTGGAAGGGACCTATAGCAGAGCTATAGCTGACTAGCAAGGTGGCTGTGGCTTATTGGGTCTACACCGTGCTCAAACATGAAATATTACCCAACACTGAAAAATTGGATGAGATCCCAGTTGTCAAGTCTTTGAAGTGTTTCCCACGTAGTTTGGGTTTTGTTCATGAAGGCTGTGCCTACCCCTATGTCTTCAACATTTTGACCTAAATTGTACTACTAATTTCTATTGGTTTATTGAAAGGAACAGTTAATGTTTAACTGTTTGATCAACCTTGCGTGCCTGTATCTGGTAATCTGAGAACTACTTTAATGGTAATAATAAGTAAGTAATACAACAACCATTATAGATTTCCTATCATCTTGTTTTGAAATTCTGTATCATCTTTTACAGTTCTTGTGTGGTTTTGTTTTTGTTGTTTTCTTTTTAAAATAAAAAAAAATAAATCATGTCTTTGCTATTTAAAAAAAAAGAAAGAAAAGTTGGGAATTTGGACACAAAGTTCTAGATTTTAGGCTTCTCTTGGCAAAAGTGAAAACCAAAAACTCCCAAGATTTGGTCGCCTATGTAGGAGAATCTGCTTGAGGTCCTAGTCCGGACACCTCCCTCCTCTAGATGGGGTGCGGGACCCCACTCAGCTGGGGCCTGCCCTACTCCCGTGACCTGGCGCCGGTCCTGCTCTGCGGCCCAGCCCCGTTTCCCCGTGGTGATTCTTCTCTCGCTGCTGCTCCTGGCTTTCGTGTCTGTAACCCCGGAGCTTTGGACAGCTGCTCAAGGGAGCCGGCTTTGGAAAGGTCATTAAGACCAAGACCTCGTCCAGCTCATGATTCCTGTGCCCCAGGGGCGAGGCCGAACCTCACACTGGCAGAATGCAGACAGCCAGACGTCCTGGCCACAGAGGGAGCACCAGGGGACGCCGGGCCTTGGGAAATCCTTTCTTCGCAGCCTTGAGGACCCAGCTGGGCTGGGGACGCAGCAGAGGGAAAGGCGGTCCTTGCTGATGACCCTTCTGGCAGCCAGCACCTGCAGGCTGGTGTTCAACCTTGGGAAGGGTCTCACAGGCCTCCGCCTCAGGGATGAACAGGCATCAGTGGAGCTACAGTGCACCTGCTCACAGTGCCACAGCCCGAGTCCTGCAGAGCCCGGGGAGCTGAGCCTCCTGGGTCTTTGGAAGGCACCAGAACTGGAGCACCCAGGGCCGGCCGGCAAGGGCAGGGCTGGGCCCAGGGACAGTGACCGTGGGTGTGGCATTCTGCCTGGCACCAGATCAAGTGAAGGATGCTGAACACAAGCCTTTGCTATCTCACAAATGCAGCAACATCACATCCAAGCCCACGCGCTGGCACGGTTCCACGGAGCCACACGATGTCCCCTTGCTGGCTGGCAGCCCCACTGCAGCGCAGAAGCCGTGTTGTCTGAGGCCTGGTGAGCCTGCGGCCAGTTAGCACCTTTTATCCCTTGATAAAGAGGATTGAACTCCGGGCTTTTGCATTGATCTACAATGCTAGCCTTTTTTTTTTTTTTTTTTTTTTTTTCATTTTTTGAGACCAGGTCTCCATTAGTCACTGAACTGCTCAGGCTGGGCTTGAACTTTGGATCCTCTTGCCTCTGCCTCCCACAGTGCTGGGATGACAGGCACGCACCACCTGGCTTATCTGATGGACAAAGGCGATAGAAACTGTTGATGGAGTGGCTGGGTGGATTGATGGGAGGCGCCTGCGAGGAGCTCAGCAGCACGCCCAAGAGGACTTCCCACCCCTCAAATCCAAGCGTGGCCCAGACATCCCAGGCTCCACTCACAGTTTAATGACCTTCCCGCGTCCAGGTGGGGAGGTGAGAGGCGCTCAGTAGAAAGGCAGTGTGAGGCTCAGGCTCGGGAGGTGGGGGGTTAAGGGGATTTCCCACTCATGCAGGTTTACTGGACGGAGCCAGAGCAGCAGGTCCTCGCGGGGGACAGGCCCTGGCTGGGCAGGGGCAGCACAAGCTGAATCGCACCCAACCTGATTCCTGGATGCAAAGAAAGAGCTGACCCCAGACCGCCTCACATCCACCCGACCTCGGACTCACTAGCCCAGAGTGTTTGCCTCTTGGGCCTCAGTTCCCCCACCTCTCAAAGTGGAAACAAACCTCCAGTGTTGCCACATGAACTGTGACGAAGGTCACAAGGAGAACCAGGCAGGCGCTCGCCCTGGGAGACCCAGCAAGAGCTGGTGCGTTGGGAAAGGATTGCATGTCGGCCTGCAAACAGCAGAGGAGGAGAAGAGCTCGTCTGCACGGTAGGACTAGAGCTGGAGGCAAAGAAGGCGAGAGGATATTTATTTTGAGCAGTGCGGATTAATGGTCCTTGAAAAACTCTTTCTTCTGTTCCCGGTGCCCACGCCCAGGTCTGACCCTCTCCTAGGAGGGAGAAGGAATGCTTTTGTACCCCATGCTTTGGCGCTGTAGGAGCCCACAAACACTGTGGAACAAGTGAGTGGATACTGGGTGCTGACCGAGTAGGACTTTGTTTTTTTGTTTTTTTTGTTTTTTTTTTTTTTGGTTTTTCTCCGGTACCGGGAACCGAACTCACAACCTTGCGCTTGCCAGGCAGGCGCTTTTGCCGCTGAGCTAAATCCCCAGCCCCTGGACTTTGTTATGAATGATGCCATCCCGCTTAGTGGAGGTAAGCACAAACTGCCTGTTGTGTTCCTTTTGAAAAGCCCGCTGGACATGGTGGTGCATGCCTGTATCCCAGCACTTGGGAAGGTGAGGCAGGAGGATCACTGTGAGTTTGAGGTCAGCCTGAGCCATACAAGTGAGTTTAAGGCCAAAGAGACCTTATCTCAACCCCCTCAAAAAGAAAGAAAAGCCCAAGTGTGTAATGCCTTCAGGCATGGCTGGATCTTGGCGCACACATGGCTCATGGGGAGTCTGTCCCTGTCCCTCTCCTGTGCCACGGCTTCTTTCTCAGGTGGCTTCTAGAAAGGCGGTGTCTGAGATGGGCCATCTGGGCCCATCCCCTGTGCTGAGCATCTCATGGAAAAAGGAGCCCATGCGCCCTGAGGGGAAGGGCCACAGATGGCCCCTGGATGGGGTGCACGTGGTCGCCCCAGGCAGCAGCTCCAACAGAATGGCGCTCTGGGTGCTCCTGAGCCATGAGCTTCCATCTCCAAAGGGAGACCTTTCTCCGTCCAGGGGACCAGTGCGGCTGTGTGCTGTCACCTCAGACCCTGCACAGCTGAACAAGGAGGGGCTCGAGGTGAGACCTCCATGTCCCCAGGGCAGTGCCACCCGTCTGGTCACCCTTTCTCCAGAGAGACAGCCAATGGAAGGAGGAAGCCAGGGCTCTGAGGAGTGGGGTAGAGATGGAGAAGCAGGAGGTGGGTGACAGGGACACCAGGCAGGCAGGCTTCCTGCCGTCATCACCCTGGAGACCAGGGACACAAGGGGATGCTGCAGGAACGGTGTGGGTGTGACAAGGACACCTTTCCTCAGACAAGGAAGATGGTGGCACTCACTTGGCACTGTGGCCCGTGATGCTGGACACAGGCCTTATGCTGAGGAGCCCATGACGTGGCACTCTGGCAGGAGAAACGCAGGGTGCTGGCTATGCTGGCGGTCTTCCTGTGGTCCTGGGAGACTCACATTCCGGGGCTGGCGGGCTCATTGGAGGAGGAGTGCACTGGAGGTTGGATGTTGCTTAGAGGTCCATGTAAAGTGACTGGTGATCGGCCACCGGTCCTACGGGCTCGGAAAAGCGACGCACCTGGCTGAAGTTAGGATCAGGTAGGCGACCATGGGTCACTTAGCTGAGAAGCTCTGCAGCTCTGCTGAGAGCCATGGACAAACAGAAGTAAGATGCTGAGCTGTCCAGACAGGGAACCAGTGTGGCCCGTGCTCACCCCTCTCGAGCAGCCCTGCTCCTGTGCCCTTCGGGAGTGGGGCTGACACAATGGCCGCTGGGCAGGATCAGCCCCACACACACCCTCAGCCACAAACACAGCCCACACTGCCCGGCTGGGGAATAGACCCCCCAAAAGGGCTGGCATCACCTGAGTCTCCACCCAGCAGGACACTATGTCTGATGAGCAGTGAACACAGACTGCATGCCCATCCTCCTGTCCCTGAAAAGAGACTCTCTTGCAATACCTTCGCTGTTCTACCAGCATTGCTGGCCGTGCCCATGGTGGAGAGCTCCAGGACCTCATTGCTAGGCTGCTGCCAGACACAGTGAAGGGGAGATGCCACTCCTTCCCCAAGTCTGATCGTGAATCTAATTGCGTGGGAAGAAGAGCTCAGGAAACTTGGTGGCCTGGTTGGACCACACCCACCATGGGCCCAGGCTGAAGTTCTGTGACAGCAGTTGAGCACCAATGAGCAGAGACTGTGACAAATGCTCAAATGGAAGTGTGACAAGTGTCAGGTTGCTGAGGGGAGGCAGGTCCCTTAACTGTCAAGCACTGTATGGGCCTCTGGCATGGGACAGGATCCCACCTGGTTCTTATTATCAAGCGTGAGATGCTGCGGGTCAATTGACTCACCTGCGACCGTGGGGACAGCACTCTCTGTCCACCCAGTGGCTGTGCAAGGGTCAGAGCTTCAGCTGGGACAGCACCTACACTCACAAGTGCCCTGCTCATTCGGGATGGTGGACAGAATCTGCCCCTGCTGTCCTCAGCCCCTTGGGACACAGAGGGATACCTGGGGCCACACACACCACAGGGGTGAGTCACCTCCTAACCCTTTGCTCCGCCTCTGCCATTGCAGGACATGGAGCCTGTGTCTCCCCGGCTGAGAGCCTTTCTTTCGGAGCCCATGGGAGAAAAGGATGTCTGCTGGGTGGATGGCATCAGCCGGGAGCTGGCCGTCAATTTGGTCACCAAAGGCTTCAGCAAGGTAATTCAGCTTTTCCTCACCAACCGCTCTTCCCAACCTCTCCTTGCCAGGTCCTGCCAAATGGTAGCCCTCTTATGCGTCCCCATGAGGGCATACCAGAGAACAAAGCTGCCACTTGGCCGTGTGCCCTGTGCTTCGGGGCTGCTGACCCACAAGCTGGAGTTCACACACACCTGGGTGTGCACCTGCTGAGCAGAGGGCAGGGAGTGCAGACCTTGGGGCCAGATGGAAGTGTGCCCAGCACCAGGTGACCCGGGCACAGTCCCCACCCCGGGATGGGGCCCACTGTGTCCTGCTTCCCTTTTAGGGCACCAGCACAGTGTGAAGCAGGGGCAGCTGGGCGCCACACCAGGGCCAGGAATGTGGGTTCTTCTAAGGCATCAGTTCCAGCCCAAGAGGGGCCTCAGGGCATCCAAGGTCGTCTCTGTCTTCTATTGCTACCCAAGATCCATTAGCCTGGGTACTTCATAAAGAGAGAGAGGCGTATTTAGTTCACCCAGGAATGGGTGGCCCCATGGGTTGGGCCTCTGATGAGGTCCCTGCTGCCCACCTCACAATGCCCACACGTGAGAAAGAGAGGTGGCAGACAAGGAAGCCAGAGGGCACGGAGCCAGAGGGCATAGCTGCTTGTTTATTTACTTGTAACTTGGCACTGGGGATGGGACTCAGGTGGGGACATGAATCCTCATCCGTCAATGTCCCTGGGTCGAGAAGTGTCCAGCAGATTGGTACAGCACATTTCTGGGTGCGTCTGGTGGTCATGGGGCAAGGGCTCTGGTCTATGTCTGCTCCCTGCCCCGTCCTCTATGGCACTGTTCCGCCGCGCTGCTTCCTGGCTCCCCTGAGCTGAGCAGCTTTGCTCTGCCACACCCTTCCGCCCCCTGTTCCAGCCAACTACGTGAGCCAAATGCCATCTCTCCTCCTTAAAGTTGTGGGTATTGGGCAATAGGAAAGTTGCCTGATACCCATGCTGCGTGCAGGCTCCACTGTTGACACCTCCAGACTCCATCCTTGCTCTTTTTATAACAACTGTCCCTTGAGAACTGACCGGGTACCAAAAGAAGACAGTCCCTCCCTTCCCAGGGCGCTCCCCTCTGGCCAAAGCACCTTCCCCGGGCCCTGCCTCTTTGAGGTTCAGTCCTCTGCAGCCTCTAGCGAGTGAACCTCAAACCATCTCCAGACCACAGAACCACTGTGGGTTCTTTCCGTGTGGGCATCTGTGCCCATGAAAAGCTTCCTGGGAGCCCAGGAGAGGATGGGAGTGGTGCAAAGAGGCCCGAGGAAGTGAGTTCACCCAGCGGCAGCTGGGACTCACGAAGCCTTGCTCGCCCAGGCCAGGCAGGAGAGCCGCCATGCAGACCAGCAGCTGTTAATTCAGCTTTCAGAGCCGATCGGTCTACACCACAGCAGGGCTCCACACCCGCTGCACCAGCAGAAGCTGGGATCTGCCGCACACGCAGCTGACAATCTTGCGTGGTGGAACAGAGCTGTGGGAAAGGGCACTGACGGAGTGGCTCAGCCAGACGCATCTTACGTAAACAGATGCACCCATGTTGCTAACCCAGATCCAGCATCGGACACCCCAAAATTCCAGACATCTCCTTGTGCCTCTGTCCAGCCAGTGCCAAGCCCTCTGTCCAGCTGGTAACACTGTGCTGACATCAACATCTAGTTCAACACCTTAGCTGGGAATATAGCTCAGCAGCATAAGCGCCTGCCTGGCAAGTGTGAAGTCATGAGTTCAATTCCCGGTACCAAAAAAAAAAAAAAACCACCTCTGTCACTATAGAATATTGTTGTCATTGCTTGGCTATGCTCATCATTTTAAACATATTTTATTAAGGCACAATTCATGTGCAGTACATTTCACCTTTTATTACTCAGTGCTATGAAATATTTGTTCGTTTTGCTGGGTGGGTGTTTTTGTTTTTGTTTTTTGAGACAGGGTCTTGCTATGTAGGTCAGGCTGGACTTGAACTCACTATGTAGCCCAGGCGGGCCTCAAACTTGAGGTGATCCTTCTGCCTCAGCCTCCCTAGTGTGCGGATTATGGGTGTGTACCACCAGGCTCCGCTTTTGCTTGGTTTTTGAGACAGGGTCTTGCTGTGGAATCTGAGCTGGCCTTGAACTCAGAATCCTCCTGCTCCAGCTTCTGAATGCTGAGATTAGGAGTGCATACCACCACACTGGCAGTTTTGACAATCACACCAAGGCAGGGCCACCGCTCCCAGAGTAACGCTCTGTGTTCTCAATTCTTGATGTTATGATTTGTGTCTGCATGTTCCCCCAAATCCTAGTGCAGTCATGGAGCAGGCTTCTAGATTTATGATTGATTTATGGGCCAATGTTGGAATTATGGATGTGAGTGCTACACCTGCCCTGGGGCAGGTAGTTTGCAGACAATGCAAGGGAGGGAAAGAGGCTTGCTCTTCCAGCTGCCCCTCCTCCTTTTTGCTAGTTGTTGCTTTTGCTGTCTTCTGCCACCATGAACAGTTACCCTCTGCCATGAGCCTCTCTGCCTTGGAGCCAGCTGAGTATGGACTGAAACCTCCACAGACCATGAGCTGAATAAACCTTTCCTTCCTTAATTGTGGGTGTCAGGTATTTTGTCTCAGCAACAAGAGAAAAGTAACTAAGACACTTGGCAATTTGTTTCTTGCCTCTGTAGTTTTGCTTTTTCCAGCTTAACTTTGTTTTGTGTAAGGATTGTGAATAGGATGATAAAGAAATGAATGAACAAATGGAAAATGTTCAGGCCCCTGAGAACTCACCCATGGAGTCAGGCACTACTGCATGTGTTCTGGTCCGTGGACACGTGGCCCTCTTGTGCCTGTGACCTCTGGGCCAGCACAGTGCCCAGCGCTGCCCCCCCCATGGCCCTTTGCATCCCCAGAACCACTAATTCCTGGCTGTGACGTGGGATCCACCTCCTCCTCCCACCTGGGACTGAGGTGAAGGTCACTAACCCGCTTAGAAATGAGGACACAGAACCCAGGGACTTGGCACCTTTGTGAGGTCCTACAGGGATGAGAAGGCGGTGGGCTGGATTGTCACACTCAATACAAAGAGATCTAGTGGCTGTGCCCAGCAGGGAGGGGTTTGGGCTGGGAGTTGGTGGGGAGACCCCCGTGCCAGGGCTGGGCTTGGCTGGGCTGTCGGAGGAGACCCAGATGTGGCTCCACAAGGTGAACCAGAGGTCACCAAGGGGCTGTGCAGAGCCAGCAGGGGACAGGAAGAGAGAGAGAGGCAGATTCTAGCAGGCGGGACCTCAGACTTCACCAACAAAAACCAGGCTCCCGTGTTGCTGTTCTCTGCCAGAGGGACCTCAGGCTGGCCTGGGGGGCATCCTTCTGGACATCTCAGGGTCCTGTCTTTGCTGGCCCTGCTGCGGTGTGGTTGTGTCTTCCCCTCTCAGGCCCAGGCCAACCTTAGAGTCTCTGCCAAGAGTGACACTGCCCAGGCCGCCCTGGCTCATGGTTGCTCTCTTGGCTTTGTCCCTGGCCCTGGCTCTGTCACCCTCTCTGCATGCTGAACATGGTCCTCTGGGCCACTTGGACCTGCCCACCTGGCTCCTCCCTCTGACTCCAGCGCTCTCCAGAGATACCAGGATGCAGGAGGCTGGAGAACAAGGCCTCACAGGGTTGAGATCTGCCCAGGTCGCCCCATCCCACCCCCTGTTCAGTAAGATGGGCTTGCCAGGTCCGACATCTGGTCCCTTCTCCTCTGCCCCTGCCCCTACAGTCTTACACAGCTGGAATGGTTGTGCACACCTCCTGCCCTTGCTCCAGGCTCTGGCTGTGGCACAACCTGGCCCCTGGCTTGCGGTTTAAATTGTGACTTTAACAGCGACTGACTTGCCGGATGGGATAGTGCACACCTGTCATTCCAGGTGCACAGGCAGCCGGGCAGCACAGCGAGATCCTGTCTCAAACCAAACAAAAGCTATTGATTCAGCCAAGGCTCTGCAGGAGCTCAGGAGGTGAAGGTATGATTGTGTGCTCTCTGAGTTGCTCTGGGTCTGTTCCTTCCCAGGTTTGTCCTAAGGAGCTTTGGCCTGAGGCCCTAGATCTGGACAGCAGCCACCAGCCACGTGTGCTAGAAATACAGCTGGGCCCCCTCACAGCTCTTCCTCTGGAAAACCTTCCTTCTGCCACCCCTCCCCGGGGGCTCCTGTCCTGAACACTTTGAGTTTTGGTGGGAGCAACTTCCTATTGCTGGGACAAAATACATGACATCCACAATTTAGAGGAAAAGAGATTTTTTTTTTTTAAAAGAGTAAAAGAAGGATAACATAGTAATAGGGGGGCTTACTGAATTACAGACAAAGTGGTAGGAAATTATCGATGGTTGTTGTTTTACATATCGTTATCTATAAGATAATTTCTGAGGAAAACAAATAGACAAATAATAGTGAGTTATAGACAAAAGTGGTAGGTTATTATCAATGGTTGTTGTACTATACTTTGGTATCTTCAAAATGGTTTCTAAAGAAAATAAATAGAGCTATACATGAGTGACCAGCTCAATAATCATTGACTATTCTCAATGGTTGTTGTAGGAAACACATAGCAATAAACATACATCCATTTATGAAATAGCATAGGAACAATACAAACATTACAGAGTTATGGACAGATTAGTAGGAAAATATCAGAGGCTGCTGTAATACATGGTGGTATCTTCAAAGTGGTTTCTCAGGAAGACAGAGATACGCAAGAAAGACCTAACAAGTAGTTACAGCCTAAGGGTTGTGAAAAATAGCGTATTACCTTCTCACCAGTGACTCCTTTCACTGAGGTGTGATGGCTGGAAGGAAGGCCAGGATTGAAAAGAAGGACTGAGAGACTTGCACCTACGTCTAGCAAAAGGCTGTTTTAATTTTCCTCTATAGTTATGATTACCCAGGGCTCCTCCACAGAGATGACAGTCTGGCCAGAGGGAGAAGGCAGAGTATTCCCTGGGCCCCTCATTTCTGTTGGACTAACTGGTAGGATGGGTCTGAGCTCTGGGGCCTCCACTTTAGAGGGGAGGAAAAGAGATTTAATTTGGCTCATAGTTCTAGGCGATTCCATCCATGGTCAGCTGGCTCCAAGGCAGGAACGTGGTGGCAAAAGGGCATGGCAGAGCAAAGCTGCTTAGTTCATGGCTGCCAGCAACAGTGCCAGAGAGAAAGGGGTGAGGGACCAGATTTAGTACCCAAAGTCACACCTCCATGTCCCACCCAGACACACCCAGAAGTGTCTCCACCAGTCCGAAACGGTCACAGAGGCCCTCACTGAGACATCTGTGCCATGACTGGTTTTCCTGACCATGGCCCAAGAGTCCCCACTCATGCCAGAGCCCCCACTGTGGCTTCCTCCCCAGCTCCTCTGATGCTGTCTTCCTACTCGTTCACTCCCTGCAAACCCACCCAGGTGTGGGTGGGTGTTCCAGCATTCAGTAATTTGGAGTTCCAGGCAGGGTCTGTGGCACAACTCTAGGGTCTCCACATAAAGCCAAGAGATGCTGGGAAATGCTGGGAGGGGCGGGGTGAATGTCCTGAGCCCCCCTTGCTCCCAGGGGAGGGAGGAGGTCTTCTGAGAAAAGGGGTGTGTGGTGTTTGCTCCGTGCCAGGCCCTTCTAAATGCATTGTGTGTGTTTAATCTCACTTGTCACGAGAGTCCTGTGAGGCACACTATTCCATTCCCATTTTCCTGAAGGGGAAAGTGAGGTGCAGAGAGGTCACATGTGACTCACTCCAGGCCACACGAGGTGACAGAGGTGAATGTGAACCTGGGTGGAGGAGCTGCAGGTCAGGACACGGTGCTGTGGTGCTGTCTCCCTGAAAGTGAAGCAAGTGGAAGGCACTGACACACGTCTGCCTTCCCTCCCTTGTCCCCGGGATCTGTCCCCACCCGCCCCCACCTGTCTGCTGTCCCCACACCCGCATCTCTGGACTCTCCGGTTTCCAGAGGCCTCCTTGCTCCTGCTGAAGTCACTTTGTCATCGCTGGCGGACAGAAGCCACGACTGGTATCGGGACCTGGAGGCCCCATGAATCCACCCCTGTCTCCCTGATGCCCCCAGGTCCCCGCTGAGCTTAGAGGACCCCAGCTCCTAACTGTCATCAGCCTGACGTTGAGCCTGCAGGAGTCAGTTGCTTAGGCTCAGGGGCTGAGATTGGGGGTTACCCTGCTAAAATCAAGGGGTCCTGATTTCACACTACAACCACGTCCCAGGGGACTGGGAGGCCGGAGAGGCAAGAGCTGCTGTGGATTAAGCATTCACACTGACGGCAGATGGGGCCAGGAATATAGCTCAGTGGCGCAAGTGCCTTCCCGGTAAGCGCAAGGTCCTGAGTTTGATTCCCGGTACAAAAAGTAAAATAAAATAAAAGGGACAGCCAACAATAGAATCCATCAGATAGTTACACTGTGTAACCACACTAAGAGCAGAGCTTGAACTGGAAGTGACCAAGAGACCCTGCCCTGGCAAGGTTGCTGTTGGCTCTCAGTGGACATGAAGACCAAGAGAGAGTCAGAAGAGGTTGTTATTCGTTGTACCAGAGATTTGCAGTAATGTGAGGGACACCCATTAGGCCACTCAGGATCTGGGGACTTGAGTGAAGGGAACTGTAGGAACCTTAGGAATGAAGGAAGCTGAACAACTTCTCTCTGTTCAACTAAGCTGGATGTCCAAGTAAAGGTTCAAGTTTCAGTGAGTGCAGACCAGGGCCCAGGACAAAAGGACTATGGGAAGTCCTTGGTCCAAAGGCTTTAAGACTTTCAAGATGGTGGCACCATAGCATCCAACCAAGTCAGTGGCTCTTCCAGGTGTAGCAAGCTGGTTGACCACACAGGTCACACACACACAAGGACACCAAGCCTGGTGCAGATCAAAGAGATACAGTAAATGAGCAGCTCCCACCCTGCTTGGCGAAAACCCCCGGGTGAGCCTCCTGTCTGAACTCGGCACTGAGGCGACGTCTGCCTTTGGGCCATCATCTTGCTGCTGTAGGAAGAAGTGTGGCTCCCTGGCTTGACCAAGGCAGTGGGAGGGTGGGGACACCTACTCGGGGTTTCCGTGTTTCTACAGCAACCCCCCCGCAGCTGGGTTTCCGGGAGCTGTGGTGTCTTCCCACTGGTTATGGATTTGCACTCTGTAACTGGCAGAGAACCCAAGCGGATATGGGGCAGGGCGAAGTTGTCAGGGTGGAGCAAGAAGGCGGTGGAAGATGCCAGGCTAAGGCGGAGGGAAAGCCGAGGACACGGTATCAAGTTGCAGCTTGGCCCAGAGCCCTGCTGCCTCCAGCATTCCTGGAAAGTGCGCCCGTGTCCCGCTGCCATGCGTTCCTGGCTTCCGGCCTCTGAGCTTGATGGGACAGGAGACGTGGTGACCAGACCAGCTGATACCGTTGCTGGCCTTGGAGATGGGAGGGAGAGGAAGTCTCAGCCTCGGGACAGGACGGCAGGCAGCAGGGACGCAGATGGGACAGGGGCGGAGGGGAGGAGGTTGAGCCGGGAACACGTGGGGACCAGGAGGGCCGAACCGAGCCCGTGTACTTGGAAGCGCCGCTTACTCAGCATTAATTATCCATCGCCGTCTCTCTCCCCGATGAAGCTCCAGGCCTCCCTGTCCCTGCAGCCCCTGGCTCTGTGCATACCGTGTAGATGTCCATGTGTTAAAATGTTGATTTTAAAACATCTCAGTAAAATCCACTGTTGAAAATGGGAGACATTAGTAAAAACGACATCATGCTAAGCAACCACTTAAAAAAAAAAAAAAAAAACTGGTCAAAGTACTGGTTTCCAATCACCATGAAATCCTGGCTTTTTTCTCTTTTCCACAACTGAGCAATGACTAAAAATAAAACCCTCGGCTGGGAGTGCAGCTCAGTGGCAGGGCGCTTGGCCGGCATGCACAGGGCCCTGGGCGCCTCCCTGGCGTGGCCAGAATAAATAAATAATAAATACAGTAACCCCTCACTCCACAGCTTGGGTCCATTTTATGACTGGTGTTCAGCTTTTATTTGATTTCACTTGTTTACAGAAAAGCTCCCCTTGTTGGAGATGAAGTTTGCTTTGTTTTACGTAACTGAGTCAACAGAGGCAAGTGAGCCAGTATCCCTGGAAAGGCCCGGAACTGGCTCTGCTTACTCCGGGCTGGGGCCCTGGAGCGGCCAAGAGGTGGATGGGTGCTATGACCAGAGACTTCCAGCCACACCAGGGAGGTTTCTTTTGACCGGTCCTTTCCTCTGACTATTGCAATATTCATACTATATACAATTCCTCACGGAGCAACCAATTCATTTAACAGCCTAGTCAGGAATAGAACATAGCTGTTACACGAGGACTGTATGCATGCAGCCCAGGCTGGCCTTGAACTCACAGCGATCCTCCTGCCACAGCCTCCTGAGCCCTGGGATTGCAGGTTTATACCACCATGCCTGGCTCCAGAGGAGTTTACATTTCTCAAAAGCTTTCCCATCAGTTCCATCTGCGACACAGGTCACACCATGTGCTTTGTGAAGACAGGGATGCTCAGACCTGGTTATCGCTTGCCCCGCCCATCGGTGGAGCAGTTGAGGTCACACAGGCGGTGTGCAAAGCCACTGGTGCCAGGGTGCCCTTTGCCTGCCAGCCACACATGCACAGGTTCCTAGCAGAGGCAGGTCGGGAAGCAAGAGGACCTCTGGCCATGTGTGGCCATGGTGATTTATCACTGTTGCTGCTTGGGAGGGTGGGGAGGGTGCTCTGGCCTCCAGTGGGTAAGGACCAGGACTGCTGCCAGCCTCTGAAGGGCACAGGACACCCACACTGTGGACTGTCCAGCAGCCAGCAGTGCTGAGGCCAAGAAGCCATGCACAACAGCAGTACAGAAGGAGCGGGTGGATTGTCCCTGACCCATGCGTGCATGGGTGTGTGTGTGTGTGTGTGTGTGTGTGCACATGTGTGCCTGTGCGTGTGCATGTGCATGTGTTTCTAGAGGAGAGACCCGAGGGGCCTCAGAGAGTGCCAGGCCCCCTGCCCAGGCTACCCTCGAACTTGCTGCACTCCCTCTGCCTCAGCCCCTCGGGCCCTGGGATAACATGCGTGTGCCCCCACGCCCAGGGCCCGATCCCAGATTCTGGATTCTGCATTTGGGATTCTGCTCCCGACCCCCTATCCCATCTAGGATGGAATCCAGGGCCTGGCACTCACTGGGCATGGGCTTTACCTCCAAGCTGTGTCCACCCCCCTTGATAGATTCCAACCGGCATGGCCATCTCCCCCACCCTGTCCCCTACAGGCCTACGTCCTGTTGGGACAGTTCCTGCTGATGCACAAGGACGAGGAGGAGTTCCAGAAGTGGCTCATCTGCTGCTTTGGGGCCTCTGAATGCGAGGCACGGCGGAGCGCTACCTGCCTGAAGGAGTGGTGCACCTGCTTCCTGTAGACACGGCCACCTGGCCCGGATGAATGACGCCTTCTCCACCTGCACCTGGCTCTGAGTCTTCATTTGTGCTTCTGCCTTTAATGATATAAGTGCATCCTAAAGGCCAGTTTAAGAATAGGAAAAAGGCTGAGCATGGTAGCACACACCTGTAGTCCCAGGACACAGGAGGCTGAGGCAGGAAGATCACTGAGAGTTTGAGGCCAGCATGGGATACATAGTGAGTTCAAGACCAGCCTGAACTATATAGTGAGACCCTTCCTAGGAAAACAAACAAAAAAAAAGACTGAAAAAAGACAAACATGAGAAACATCACCCCCAAAATTCCACCACCAAGACACCATTACTCACTTCAGATAAATATCATGTCAACAAGCTCTCTGCAAACATTTCTGTAGCAGAATGGGTAACTTCACTTTTAAACAGGAAATCAGTTTTAAGTCAGTGAATCAGCAAGCTATTGCTGTGTAACAAATCATAAAACGTTGCAGTTTAAAACTATGTGCCATTACCAACAGAGGTTCCCCAATCTGAAAATCAAGAACCCTAAGTGTTCCAAATTGGAATTTTGAAATCTGGAGAATTTCAGATTTTGGATTTTTGGATTAAATTCTATGTAAATATTGAAAAATCTGAAACACTTCCCAAATCCAAGCATTTTGGGTAAGGAATGTTCAACCTGTGCCTCAGTTTCTTTTTTCTTGCTTATTTTGAGGATGTTGTTTTTTGAGGCAGGCTCTCACTCTGTAGTTCAGGCTAGGCTTGAACTCACTACGTTGCCCAGGCTGGCCTAGAATTTACAGCAATCCTCCTGCCTCAGCCTCCTCCTAAGTGCTGGGATTACAGGTGTGTGCTGCCACACTCAGTTTCTGTGCCTCAGTTTCTGAGGGGCAGGAATCTGAATTGCTCAGCTGGATGCTCTGTCTCAGGGTCTCCCATGAGGTTGCAAACTGGGGCTAGACAGGGACTGGGGGTCTATTTCCAACATGGCTCCCTCACATGGCCGTTGGCTGGGGGGCCTCAGTTCCTTAGCACGGGGCTGCTCATCCCGATGCATCTGGCTTCCCCTGAGGCTGAGAGAGAGGAGAGGAGAGAGAGCAGGAAGCCACAGCATCTATCACGTACTCTGTGACTTCTGCCCTATATTCTGTGTTAGAAACAGGTCACTGAGTCTTGCAGAGAGGAAAATCCACCTACTTGAAACAACAAATGACACAGAAATAGTTTTAAGACCATCACTATTAGGTTTATGAGCTATACTTTACATATGGCAAACCTGAGCTTTTTCAGGTGTGCACTTCTATGAGCTTCAGCAAATGCACCCCAGTGAAAACCTGGAGGGCTTTTACCACCTGGCCGTCCTGGTCCCGCCCAGCCCCGCAACCACAAGCCTGCTTTCTGTTCTTGTAGTTTCCACTTTTCCAGAAATCCATATAAATGGGATAGCACAGTATGTAGCCTTTTAAGTTTGATGTTCTGCATAATTCATTTGATATTAACCTATTATACAGGCTTTGTAAACTCAAAAGTTTTATTATATTGTTGGTGCTTTAACTGTGACCAGCAGCTAGGTGGGTAAACTCCCCACGTCCCAGCCCTTTGGTGGGGACACAAGCTCCCCAGTGCGGCTGGGTCCCCAGTGACGCCCAGTGGTCCCTTTCTCTTCACCACCCCTGGGTCCCTTTCTTCTTGCCTCACCTTGCTTTCCCACCCCCTCTATATTTCCTGGGGTCATTCTGTCCCCTGATGTCACCATGAAACAGCCAAATTTTAGACTCTGAATCCACTTCTGGAGGAAGCCAGCCTGAGACAAAAGTGTCGGAATTTAGCGAATCTTAGAGAACTGCTAAGCTTTGCTAAATTTTTCCTTCATCGTTAGATACAGTGATACCTTTCTCACTCAATTTCCGTTGAGTTCAAGTGTACCATGGGGGAAGACAGTAAGAGGTCAGTATTGTTAGGTTTATTTTCAAGTCGGTTTCTTGATGGTATGTGATACAGACTCCTGCTAAAGAAGTTAAAAACCGAGCATATGCACGTTGTCCCCACTTCTCAATTTTTATTGGTTTCATTAATACTTTTCATTTTGTTAAGATTTATATAATTTACATTCTTCCCATGAGCATAATCCTTCAGTTTTAGTTATACTTATGAGATTACCACCAATCCTTGTAAGTGTCATTATTTTACTTGGAACTTTTTGTTGTTTGTTTGTTTATTTGTTTTGAGACAGGGCCTCACTATGTAGTTCATGCTGGCCTTGAACTCACTTTGTAGCCCAGGCTGGCTTCGAACTTGCACTGATCCTTCTACCTCAACTTCCCAAGTGCTGGGATCACAGGTATGTGCCACCATACTGGATAGTATCATTATTTTAAAAACTATAGCTTTGTCACTCCTGAGCTCTTGATTTTGGTGCATCTCTGTGTTGGTTCAGTGGTACTGTGGTATCAGTCAGGACAAGCAAGGTTATGCTGCCGTAACAAACAGCTCCAAGCTCTCAGTGACTTAGCCAATATATGCAATCTTGCTGTGTGTCCAGGATGGGTCATCAGGAGAGTTCTGTCCCATAATCACTGAGACCTAGGCTGATGGAGGCTCCTTCTCCATGCAGACTTCTGGATGATTGTAACAGGGGAAAGAACCAGTGGGAGTCACACTGTCTCAGAGCCTCAGCCCAGAAACGACAAAGCCTGCCTGCACTCACACCTCATTGGCCAAGCAAGCCACATGGCCACACCCACCACCACATAGTGAGGACTTCTCTGAATTCAGAAGTAGAAACATTTGATGACATCACTGATCAAGACTGATGTCGTCAGCTAAGCTGCCTCTCTGGTGTTCTGTTTCCTTGCTTGATATCTGGTTGGAATATTTTGATGGAGTCCTTTAACCTGTGCCACTTTGCTTCTCCCACTCTCCCCAAGGAGACACTGAAGTCAGGGATTCCAGGGGGGCTGACTGGTGACCCAGATCAGTGCCTGGCTCTACTTCCTCAAGGCCGAGGTTCTAACCATCCAGGGCCTGTCCCTGGGTCCCTCTTACCTGGCCTACCCACAGTCTGTCCTTCACTGGAAGAGGCTTAGGCAGGAGGATGGTGAGTTTGAATCCAACCTGGCAACTTAGCAGCTTAGTGACACCACTTCAAAAGGAAAAATTTTAAAAAATACCAAAAAAAAGTAAAAACAGGGCTAGAAATGTAGCTTAGCATGAGAGTCCTGGGTTCAATCCCCAGCACCAGGGGCTGAGGATTTAGCTCAGCGGCACAGCACCTGCCTGGCAAGCGTGACGTCGTGAGTTCGATTCCCTGTACCGGAAAAAAACAAAACAAAACAAAAAAATTTCCAACACCAAAAAAAGAACAAGAAAAGGAGAGGGGGCCGGGCATGGTGGCGCACACCTGTAATCTCAGCACTTGGAGGCTGAGGCAGGAGGATCATTGTGAGTTGGAGACCATCCTGGGCTACAAAGTGAGCTCAAGGCCAGCCTGAACTGCACAGTGAGACCCTGTCTTCAAAAAACAAAACAAAACAAAACATAAAATCAAATCAAAGGAAAATGTGGGCCTGGGGATGTAGCTCTGCACAAGGCCCTTGGCTCAATCCCCAGTACCATCAAAAAAAAAAAGAACAGAAGAAGAGGAGAAGAAAAGAAGAGAAGGAAGAAGAGGTGAAGGAGGAGGGGGAGGAGGAGAGGAAGAGGAAGAAAAAAGAAGAAAGAGTCATGGCCTTTGATGTCACCCAGGTTCAGAGACAGGCTCTGTGGCCTGCAGGGACCGAGGGCTGAGACTTGCCATGTCCACAGTTAAAACCCATTCTTTTGGCCGGGATCATCCAGGAGCACATGGAAGCTGAGGCTCTGCAGGGGACCTTGGCTCAGATGCCAAAGACCAGAGCAGCTGCCCCTGTGCTGTGGACATGACAGTACCCTGGGGACAATCTGTTCTCCGAATTTCCACAGACGCAGGGGTTCCCTGCCACTCACTCCATCTCCCTTGGAGATAAACAATTGGCTTTGATTCTTCACTGCCATCTTGTTCCCCGGGGTCCTGGTGTGACTCCCCCTGTGCTGCTCTCTGAGTGGCGGCGGCTGCTTCAGCCCGGTGACCTGAGCACATCCAGGCTAAGGTGACCTGGACACAGCCTGCAGTTGTGGGGGTGGGAAAGTGAGTCTATCCCTGGAAACAGAGGATGTCGGGAAGAAGGCAGGAAGGGAGCTCAGGCCTGGGCCTGTCTCGGGAGCCGTGGAAAACGCAGCCGTTCACACCCTTGTCCTGTGGGTCCCAGGGACATCACTAGCTGCTCACTGAGGCGCTTCACCCTCAGCTCCTGGGACCTGCAGCCCTGGGGCCAGCGCTGCCCTGAGCAGGAAGGTAAGGAGACAGGTGATCTCTGCAGCACCTGCCATGAGGGTCCCTCCCTGTCCCCTGAAGTTAAGGCTGTGCCTGTGCCCTGCAGAGCCCCTGGGTGCTGGGGACATGGTTGGTGGCCATCAGATGCTCTCAGGGACTCAAAGACAGCACGACCAGGGAGAGAGCAGGATGGGAAGGGACACGGAGGACTCAGTGGGAGGTCAGGGACAGATGCCCCCGACACACCAAGAGCAAGGCAGGCGTCACTCAGCACCTGCTGCAGGCCAGCGCATTGAGACAGAACGGCAGGACGGCGGTGTTCCTCAGAAGCTGACACTTGATGGGAAGGGACAGAAAAGGTCAGTAAGGCGAACACGTGGATTTGGATCATGCAAAGCTGCCATGTTTTAGGTAAAAAAAGTCAGTTTTATAGGTTCAACCTGACAATGTCGGGCAGGTCAAGCCCTGATTACAAAGGTTAAGTGAAATCCTGACTGGGGTGACAAGAGCTAGGGATTCGCTGGGAGAAGACGGCAGCCAGCAGAGGGGCCAGGCAGGGCAAAGGCCCCAGATGGGCGAGCAGGAGCAGTGGACATGGGGGAGCAGGTGGGGCGGGCCCGCTGGGTCATGGTAAGACTCCGCTCTCACTCAGCTGGGAAGGGAACCTACAGCGGCTCTGCGAGCAGATTCGGATTT